AGAAAATCTATTTCTGTCAGTGGATGTCAACTACCCTAAAAAAAAAAAAATTACAGTTTGTGTTGTTAGTAAAGCCTTCTCCTGACTCCTCCTCCACTCCCAGTGGCATGATAGGCAATCAACAACACATCTCTTGAGACTGATACAGTGATATTGAAACGTGCAACAAGGAATGTAAACGAATGGTACTTGGTGCTAATTATGTGCCGGGCACATTGTATCCACAAAGTCATTTAACTTCCTCAGCGCTCTCCAGTGATAAGCATCCATCTCTTCTCACTTTGCAGATGAGAAAAGTGAGGCTCAGAGAAGTTGCTGGTGTCCCTGACATTAGGCCCCACCGCCAGAAAGCGCCAGGCCCATACTCAACCCCAGGTGTGCCCCTTGTTGCAGGCCAAGCCACCTCTTGTCTGCATCCCCGTGTTTAGATGCGCTGTCATTTCTGAAGGAAGTTGTGCCAATTCGAAAGTTAAGGGATCTCCCAAGGGGCCTACAGCCGTCTCGCCAAGGACCACCCTACGTCAGTGGCTGTGTTTGTAAAGCAAGTTACATATACAGAGTCAGTAAGGTTTCTTACTGGTGCTGTGTCTGGGCTGATAAGAATCTCTGGTGCTGGGGTTTAAGCTTGCTGTTAGGCAAATGTGGAGCTGGGCAGAGAGGGGTTTTTTTGTTTTTGTTTTTGTTTTTTGGTTTTTTGGTGTCTGCTGTTTCTCAGCTGCCTTGAGCTCACAATAATTCGTCACCCAAAGTGGCGCATTTTGGGCTGGCATAATCTGATCCTCAGCAACAGCATTGGGAGGAGCATGTCTGTTCTCTCTAGTTCCTCCTTTGCCTCGGGCAGTCTTTTGATAGCAAAAAACACCAGGCGAGGGGCCAGGACTCTAGAAGGACGGTGTGTGCTGATCCTGGGCAGAGAGCAATCAAGGTTCCCGGAAAGTCCCTGACTTTCGCTGGGGCTCAGCCTCCTCTTGGAGTCGATATCTAACCTCTAAGACTCATCCATTTCCCTGTGCGTCTGCATGAGTAAGTGTGTCCTCAGGAGACAGAAATCATACCACATTCGAACTGGAAGATTGAATGTAAAAATTATTAACTGGACAAATATGCTGAGGCCATGACTGCGGGGAGCAGCTGCCACCCCTAAGGATGGAGGGATAAAGGGAAGAGACTGGAATTAGTCTAATTTAGAAGCTAAGAGAAGGGGTCTCAGAAAGCTGCAGCACAGATCTCCGGCAAGGGGGCCCTGGCTGCCTGCCGCTGGTGTGGACCAGGAAGGGAGGGTAGGATGCGGCTGGTTCTGCGAACTGGTCAGCTGCTACCATGGAAGGGCATTGCTGCTGCGGAGTGAGGAAGTATTGCTCTGGTGAAATTTACAAGAACAGAACGCGTGGGTTTCTTCCTTCCTTCTCTAACCTCTAAGCCTCTCTCCAGCGTCCCCTACTGGGGCTGGCAAAGCACGCGTGTGGTTTTTGGACAGGGAGGGGCTAAGAGGGATGGCTTCACAGCCGAGAGACAGTAGCTTAATAACTGGCACGATGTTCATTGTTGAAATTACCAACTGGTGGCCTACAAGGGTCCCTCAGGCTTGTGGAGATGGGTCCTGGCAGTAGGAGATGGCTTTAAAATACCCTGATCAGTGAGTAAGGCAGTCCTGCTTAGACATAGTTTGCAATGGCTCAGAACTGAGCAAGATTTAAGTCTGCAGGGAGCCAGCTGTTGAAAACCGTTGACTGTTCAGAGCTGGATCAGGCAGACCAACTTACAGTCTAGCAGGGAAGACGGCTCTACACATTGTTACAATACAACATGACACGTGCTATGAATTGGGTTTGTTTGCAAATCGTGACTCATTTTCTTAAACACAAATGTCAGTGGCCTAATATAGTGGGGAACGGTTCAGTACATTTCCTGAGCTGAGGGCTGGGGAATAGGGAGAATGGGAAATTCTCCTGTCACTTCTCTGTGAGCCATCCAAGTAGGCCAAAAAGCCACCCTCGGAAAGAACCCGGGAACACAAGGTTCAGCAATTTCCCCCCAAATAGTCCCATGTTTGTCTCCATTCAGGTCTTTGCCCAAATGTCCCATCTCCGTGAAAACTTCCTGAACTGCCTTCTTTAAAATTGCCACCTTCTACCCTGGTTCTCCGTCCCACCCCACCCCCACATTACTTTTCTCTATAACCCTTATCAGTAGTCCACTTACTATATATTGGGTTGTCAGAAAAGTCATGACACATTTTTGCAACGAAAAACATAGAA